GCCCCAGGCCGCCTACACAGCTGAGAAGTACTTGGAGGTCTGCGGGGCTGCCGCCAGCGCGCCTACCGCCCCAGACGACTATCCGACCCGCCCGGCTGAGTTCGCCTTCTACCCGGGCTACGCGGGGCCTTACCAGTCCATGACCAGTTACCTGGACGTTTCTGTGGTTCAGACCCTCGGGGGACCTCCGGGCGACTCCAGGCACGAAGCCCTCCTGCCCGTCGACCCTTACCACGACTCCTGGGCTTTGGCCGGGGGCTGGAACAACCAGGTGTGCTGCCCCAAGGAGCCCAACTCCGCGGGGCCCTTTTGGAAAACTGCCTTTACAGGTAAAGCTTGGCGCCTGGAGAGCAAAGGAACACACTGCTACTTTGGCGGCTCTGCCAAACTGGGGGGCTGGTTTGGGGGGGCACTGGGGAACCTGAGCTGGTGCATCTGGAAAGTGCTTCAGGTTCAATTCTGCTTGGAAGAGCTGCTCCCCAAGCCAGGGATGTGTTTTTTGCCTTGACAAGCAGCTTTGCAAAAATGTGAAAAAGTAATTTGGTTAGGTAACACACTTACATCTTGGTCATTTTCTACAGATTGCGCAAGAGGGGGAAAAAGCATGCTTTTTTTCAGTTGTTGGCAACAGTCAGGGAGTAATTTGTCCAGGACTCAACCCAGTGCCTCTATGAGCTAGCGCAGGGTGATCTTCCCCTTAGTTCCCAGCTAGAGAACAGGAATTGCAGACAGGTAAACCTCAACCTGTGCCTTGATATTTGTTTAGCAGGCTTTGCCCTAATAAATCGACTGCATAAAGCAGCTGCAAACTAGAGGCATTCCTGCAAAAGTGACATACTGGAATTTTATATTTTCTATGCACTGGTGTCTCTCTGAATGCCTTTGGGCTTCTCTTGATTCTTTATCAATATTTTAAGAACCAGCTCTCTTGGAAATAGGACTCATTTTCTCCTCCCAAAATGTGGATATGACAGTGATTTCAATCCCTTTTTGGTAGATGCAGGAAATTCTCTGCAGGATGCCTCAATATTTTTACTCTACCCCCAGAGATCAGCCCAAATGTAGGACAAGGGCATGCAGGGTGGGGTATTTGCACCACCAGGAAGGTGCAACTAACCCTAGCCCAAGTCATCAGTGGCCCAAGAAGGAAGAGAGGAAGGAATTTGGGAGCTGTTCTGCATAGCAAGGTTGGATGGGAGTTTAAGCACAGTTGGTCACACCTCCCTTACCTGATGCAACAGAAGAGAGGCTGCAAAAACTAGAGGGCTGCAATACTATATCTCACAGAACAACCTTCCCCAACCTGGTGCCTGATTGGAGTACAACTCCCATCATTCCCTGCCAGCATAATCTTTTGAAATGCACAGAGCTTTATGAAGGAAGGAGGTGGCCCAGACTAAGAATAATAATAATAAAAAAAAAACAGCCAACACTTTCCTTGCATAAACTGTCCCCCACAACACCCCTGATATCCTGAAGATAATAATCCTCTCATTTAGGCCCTCCAGAGAGTTCTCTGATTTTGTGAGTGCAAAATGTTTTCCCCTTCCCCTACAGGCGGACTCCTCCTCCCCTTCCCTTTCTCTCCCAGACTGAATGTTTAAGAGGAGTATCAAAACAAGGAAACAAAAAAGAGGAGGGACAGATTAAATGGTTTTTTTAAAGACAGCTTGCAACAGACAGTCTTTCTCATGAAAAGGAAAATGGGGGGTGGAAGAGAATTTGAAGAGCAGACTCCCTAAACATCATTCCCCACCCCCAGTGCCATGATTCTCTTTGTGGTCTACAAGCAACTGGGGGTGCGGGGGTTAACATTCTGTCTGACTTGGCCATAAGAGGCTGTGGGACCTCCCTCCCTCTGCTACTTTTAGAGCTGTCTCAAGGCCAGGCCACCACAATTTATGGTTGCAACCCATCAAGCCATTACCGGCAGTTTAAGCCTGTAAAATTTGGTGAGAATTCTCAGGGAGCACATGTGCTTCTCCATGCAACCACAGTCAGTAGTCACCGGGCAAGAGTTGGCTTAAAAGTTAATTTGTTGCTTTTGCTGGCTGTTCTGGAAACTAATCTCCCAAGCCTAACTGGGTAACGAAGCAAAACAGAACAAGAAATAAAAATCTTCCTGTGAAAAACTCTGTAGACCTCTAAATTTTACATGCTTCTATTTAAATTACCTCTGCATTAATTTTCTAGTAATGTCAGTGCATAAGAATATGTGTTTGTCCCAGCTCACGCTTAACAGGTTATCACCAACTCTAACCCACTGTGATTTTTTTGTGGGGGAGGGAGGTCAAGGGGAAAAACTGACCTATAATGCAAGTGAACTTTATTTGAAAGATAATCAATTTATTTTCAATGCTGCTCTGACTAGTTACAGCAACTCCAATAATGCTATTTCCATTTTGGTTTATTTTTATGTTTCTTTTTATTATTATTTTTATGTTGCTTACCCCCACCCCCGCTTCACGTCAGTCTTGACTCCTGGCAACTACATGGACAAATCAATGTGGTTTTCTAGGCAAGATTTTTGGAAGTAGTTTGCCAATGCCTTTTTCCTAGGGTTAAGAGAAGGTGACTGGCTCAAAATCATCCAGTTGGCTTCTGGGCCTAAGGCAGGATTAGAACTCAGGTCTCCCCACTTGAAGTCCAGCACCTTAACCACTAGATCAAACTAGCTCTCACTGCATTATTAACAACAGACACATTTGAAAGAGTCTGCCTAAGATGCAGTATCAGGAAACAAATTTGCCTGTTTATTTTGAGCTCAGTGTGAAAATTCTTTCTAAAGGTTTAAATTAAGATTGACAATTCCTTGAAGGAGTATTTCATTAATGGGTATCTGTTCCAGGCCATCTCATAATGTTAATTTTGTTTTAGTAGCAACAAGAACATTATGGTATATTACCCAGCCAATATTTAAATATACACTATATGTTGATATTGTCATTTAATATCCTCTCACTTTTATATATTACTTATATAAGTACAGTTTTTTTATTAAGCTTATCCAATACAGTTTACATTTTTTGTGATACTGCAATAGCACAAGATGATATGATAACATAGAAAAATACTATGATGGAAAAATTATACAGATCTCACAAATTAAACTCAGTATTTTTAAATATATATCAGGGTTGTAGGTCACAACACAATGTTTTACAAATTTATGCATCCAATAGCATATACCCCAGTGGCTCACCTTTTCAGAGATCACAGAATCACTTTCTTTTAAAAGTGTTCATTATGACACTGGGTATCCTTCAGTTATGTTACTTTGATTTGGTATTTCAAATTACTTATATCTATTATTTCAGCAAAAATTAAGGGTGAAATAACGGGCAGTGCCCATTAAAAAAAATCCATCAAAAAGAATGGGACCATCTAAGTGAGGCATTTGCAAGAGATTCTCCCTATTAATTTGTTCCAGTGGTGGTATCAGATAATTTTAGGCTCAGCTTATTCATTTTATGAGGAATGAAGAAGCTTCTTAAATGGTAAGTGTGTTACTTTACTTACCTGAAATTGTGGTAAACTGGTTGGCTCTTTTGTGAGGTCATCTGGCTGATTTCAGGTGAATTGAAAGCCTTCCTCCCTCCCTCCACCATACCAATACTGGCTTCTGCCACAAAGTGAAAACATCACTGAGTTCCCCCCACCCCCAATTCAGTTATGAAAACATAGTATTGATACTATTATTGTTACTTTGGGGGGGGTGCCTTCAAGTCACTGTTGATTCCTGGTGACTTCCTGGACAAGTCCCTGCAGTTTTCTTGGCAAGGATTTTCAGAAGTGGCTTGCCATTGGCTCCCTCCTAGGGCTGAGAGAGAGAGAGTGACTGGCTCAGGGTCACCCAGCTGGCTTCGTGCCTAAGGCGGGACTAGAACTCACAGATTCCAAGTTTCTAGCCTGGTGCCTTTAACCTCTATCCCAGACTGGTTCTCATTATTGTTTCTTACAGTTGCATAATTACAGCTAAATTCAAAACTATTCACATTCAGCAACACACAGCAATTCACACTGCACAAATGTGCATTGCCTCTTACCATTACATTGCACCACACGTAGCTCCCAAGAAGCATGCATATTCTGCATTAATTTTTCAGTATTATACGTACTGTTGTGCAAGTATATCTGCCAGCATTTCTATGTATTTACAGGAAAGAGCATTACTCCAGACAGTAAGTAGAAAAAAGTAGTATATTAGAAAAAGCAGCCCTTGAATACAAACACAAATCTTCCACCTTACAGGCTTTAGTCAAACATTTTCCAATATATTTACGCAACATTAAGCGGTTTTAAATCCAATGGGTTACCGTGTTTAAAGGAGCACCACTGAAGTTAAGAACATTCATTAGTTCTGATTTTTAATTGTAAAAAGCATGCGTAATGATGTTTGATTGCCAAACTCAGTATGTAAATTTATGCCTTTCACCAAAAATACAATACATCATGTCCGCATTAGGTAAGTATAATATACCGTGTTTTAGAAGATTCAGCCAATGATCTAAATTGCATATAATGGCAATAATACATTTTATTTTACCTTATATAAATTACAACTAAATTCCTAGAATGAATAATTTTACATTAATGTCCAGATCTGTATGGATTTGTTTCATGCATTGGCAATGAAAATATGATGACTTGAAGTAGACATCTGAAATAACATTTCTTCATTGAAATTAACAGAAATAATAGATTAAGTCAGAGTAAAATGTTTTCACATTGCATACACCACAAAGATATTTAGGTTTTGCACATCAGTTGTATTTTTTAAAAGGCGCATATAGGTGGAAGTGACAGAAAGAGCTCCTACTTTGTATATATATTCTTTCTCCTACTTGATTTTTTTAAAAAATACATTCTGGATAGTTGATAAGTGTAGGTTGGTGTGGGCTGTCATGCAATGTTTAGATGGTCCTGATTGTTTGCCTTGAAATATCTAATATGAAAGTATTATCCCAAATATACATTTATATTATTTTTAATTTAGTTCACTGCAAAATGGTACATTCCTGGCTATGGAATTTGCATTAATTGTTACAGCACTGCAATCCCCTGCTTGGGGCCAAAGTGTGGCTTGGTCGTGTGCCTGGCTTTTTCCTCGAATTTCAGTAAGAGGAAGCAGTCTGAATAACATTCATTGTTAAAATACACTCTTCGGGAGAACCAAGGGACAGTAGAGTTTTCCTTGAGCATCAACTAGCCTTGTTTAAACTCCGGTGACTGGATGCAAGAAAATAGGCAGCGTGTGGGCTATTATTAACGTTTGCAGAGACACCGAGGAAGGCAAACCGTTAATACACAGCCCCCATCCCTTGTACCTGCACGTTTGCATGAATTAACGACTCCAACGCCCTGGGAGTACAGGAGCATCGCTAAAACACAAACCTATGATCTTGAATAGCAGCCTAAGGCTTATCTTGCCTTAAAAGTTCTACCTGGAGCAAAGTCTACAGAAACCGACCGGGCTTCACCTCAGATCGTAACTTCAAATCACTTCACTTGCAAAGCGGTGGAAAGAAAGACTGGAGCCCGCAACAAGTAGTGCTGCCTAATCGGGACTCATTGGTGATTTGGTTCTCTCCCATTATTCTTCTTCAGAATAAATTAACCCCTACCCGCGGAAGCGCTCTATTTGACCTCAGGACCGAGAAGGTTGAAAGGGACGGGGGCGGGGGGGGGAGGGAAATAACGCAATAGGATAACTTGAGTCCCATTGATTACCTGGACCGGGAGGTGGAGGCAAGCCAGAGAGATTCCTTCCAAACAAAGCAGCAAGGCGGAAACACCCGTCTCCCCCAATGCTCGGGGCTTTTGCGGCCAGTTATCCGCCTTGCTGCGTTTTGCGCAGATGATTTGATTTAATATGAAGGGAGCGGGATTCCAGACGCCCAACCCCGGTCTTCGGAGAGCTGACAAGGAATGTGAATATAAAGCAAGAGCAAAAGTGGGTGTGTTTGTGTGTGTGTAAAGTGAGGGGGAGACAAACCAGTGAGTGGGGGGAGGGGGGTACCCCGAGCGTCCGCCGCTCTCTCTGGGGCCCCGGGGGGGCCGCCCACAAGGGGGGATCCGCTTCCTG